TAGAGTTCAATATAATTATGAGAATCAGAAGGAGAAGAATAAATCCTATCTTTCAGTTCTTCTTTGTTTTAATCATACTATATTGATTGATCTTTTATTTAATTTTTACGGATAAACATGATGATTTTTTGTTCACCAATGCCCAGAGTACGACATTTTCGTCGGAAACATTGTAGTTTACGATTGCTACGACTTTCTTTTTTTATTCTTTGGTTATTGCTGGTGTTGTTGCTCTCATGTGTTTTTTGCCCGTTGTATAGTTGGTTCCATGGCGTTTCGCACCGAAAATAGCTCAGATCATTGAAAGAAAATCAGCAACTTTTCTTTGAATGTTTCCGTTCATGAAGCTCATGAAAATAATCTACAATATTTTTCAGAGATGTCAGTATAGTTTAGAAAAAGAAAATATAGCAGCAGTCATAATCTTTCATTTGCAGAAACAAAAACAAAGCATGTATGCATATCAAGAACGTGTCACGAAAATGAATCAGCAAGAATTGTTCATGAACGTCTTGTCGTTGGTGGATTAATGACAATCACAGCACTAAACAAGCGTGAGAGATCTTCTTGGATGCCCCATCGAAGAACTCGACAATGTAAACGATCTCGATGGGGTTGCCGCATATAATCACAGATGAGTTGTTCAATTTTTTCAAATAATTCATCAGTCAACTCATCTTCTGTTTGGTGAGCATGTATTAGTTGTTGCTGTTGACTATTCTCATTGCTTAATGGTGGAGTTAATGGATTCCAGCTATGTTCGATATCATTTGATCTAACATGACGATTGTTATCTTGTTGACTATGATGACGATGCATGAATACAATATCTTAATGTTACAACACGTCAACGTAATTGAGTAAAGTTAATCTATAGTTAAAAAACAAATACTCTCAATATCGATAAAAACTTTGAATCTATTGTGAGCACTTCGAATAACTTTCGACAAGCAAATACAATCAATCTAGAATAGAATAATAATCATTTTTTCAAAAATATCTTCCTGAAAATGACTCTTAAACAGATAATTAACCCTTTCAGGACCGGCTTATTTTGAGCAAAAATTACAAATTTTTCAATTTTTCAAAAATGATTTATTCTTCTCAGATTTATCAAAATGTGAACATCAGAAGGCTTTCAAAGTGTGATATTGTTTGAAACACTCCGGGTTACATAGTGGAACATCACAATCTGGACAATAAAACCNCATTCACCGAAATCCTAGATCCACCACTGTGAGGATTATTGTAGAATCAAGAAGCTAATAAGAAAAAGAAATTGTAAGTATTTCTACGATAACTTTCATATCATGTTGTTATTGATATGTAGTGGAATGTAAAGTTTATAATATCAGAGTGTTCACTTGTATTATCATTTTTAAAGAAATTTCATAACAAAAATAAAACTGCTAATATTAGTTTTCTATTAATGAAAAGAAAATAGATTATTGAAAAAATTTCAAATCTTTTGATTTGATTCTATTCTGAAATAAAAATATCCAATCTACCGTTATATATGAATGATATAAAAGATATGTTTATTATCATAGTTGTATCTTAAGATAGGAGCAACGAAAAGAACTGGAGCATTCATAAGAAACTCTTCTTGTTAAGGAGTGGTTCTGTACAAAGTTTCAAATTGAAATTCGAAAATCGATTTTTATATTGTTTTTGATGGATAGAGTTCGACGGTTCCAGAAACAAATTGGAACTGAAACCGGCAAATCATTAGATAGATACGAAAATCCTTCAGTTTATATGAAGAAATCATCATTTTTGAGATTAAAAAAGTCACTATACATGTATAATATCGTTTTCTTTAACTACTGAAATGTGTGATGTCTTTAATCTCAACAACTCAATAGTAAAAATTTCTCAAAATATATTTAAAATTTTCGTATTGATCTAATGAAGTTTAGAGTTTCGGTTTCACGTTATACTTTGTGAACTTAACCGGAACTCCTTTTTTCTCATTTTTTAACAGCCTGAATCAGAATCGGAACTGCGGTTCCGATTCCGGTTTCGGGTACTTTTTGGAATCGTCGCACTTTACTCAGGGATACTGCAACATTTCTTTAAAAAAAATCTTAAAAGTGCAGTATTTTCACAGCAATAAACTAATCGTCTAAGCTGTTTTCACGGTATTCCTGGTTCATTTGCTTCTAAATAATTCACGTAGTTTCGACTCCAAAACAATTTATCAATTGGTGGACTTTTCTCTCGAGAGAAATCGAAAATTCTTACTTTATGTATACTAAAAAATATGAGCAGTGTTCGATTTTCATCTTACGATAAAAAAATCATTCAAGAAACAACTAAATTAAACTGTACATGAAAAACAAATCTTCAATAAATAGATTATTGTTTTCAGTTTTCATCTATATGTTTCTCTCTTTTTATTTATTTATAGGTAATGGTTATCTTGGTCTTTCTCTGTCAAGTCAATCTCAAATTCAACTTTTAACGGATATTCGTTCACCATTTATTTCCAGTGGTTATTCGCCCATTGTTAGAATATCTTCCGATACATGGGAATACTCTAGTGCCACAATAGTACAAATGAAACAAGGTCTTGTAAGACGTATTCAATGTTTTAAATTTAGTGAAGAACGTTCAGCACATGTCACACATTTATTATATACACATCGAAAAAGGCCATCATTAATTGTTCAAGAAATCGATATAACAAATCCAAGTGAACATTCACTTGATCTTGATTTAAAACAAAAAAATCAAATATCAAGTAATGATTTAAAACAACTTGATCAACAAGATGTTCAATTTGACTCAACAAAGGGTATATTTTTAATGTCAACAAATCAATTATCTATTCGACAACATAATTTTATTATTTATGTTATTATTACAAATAAAATTATTTCGAATTGTCATATTAAATCTGGTAGGTACGTTTCAAAATAAATTCAAATTTTTTCTTACTGTTTATTTTTAATAATTTTATTAAATTTTAGCCAAGATAAACAAATAATTTTAACTGTAGTTAAGTTTTCTACCGTTCTTTCTGAAAATTCTTTACTTAATACAACTTATTCTCAAGAATTACAAGAACAATTACAAAAACAAGCTAAAAATGATATGCTAGATGCTTTATCAATATCATCAACAAGATTATTAAAAGAACATATTGATACATGGTCATTAATATGGCAAAGTGGTTTTACAATAAGTCGTTCATTAGCACCATCAGCAATGAATGGTGATATTATTAATCGAACAATGTATTATATTCTTTGTTCAACATCTGCACCACTTTATGAGTTAAATATAGATGAAACAAAACGAAATGAATTTAATCAAAGTCTTTTTCAAATTGATCAATGTTATGAAAGTCATTCAACATTGTAAGTTTATATATTAATGAGGAAACTACCTGAATTAATATCTGCCATTTGAGCCTACAAGGACGTCTCAGTAAGACTAGAAAAATCCTAAAAGTGTTTGTTCTATTGAACTTTTTGAAATCAAATTAGAATCATTTTTCTAAACTTTTAACTCAACTTTAGGTAAATAACGAAAAATTAAAAAGTAAAATTTAGCAATGAAATTTTGTCCATAGAGAGATCGAATGATCTGTTCAATGTTCTTTTGTTAAGAAATCGAATTTCCATAGAATAATCATTTGCCAAATGCATAATACAAAACTCGAGTTTACTTGAAAATTATAATATTTCGACAAAAGAACATTCTTTTCGACTGAAATTTTCAGAATATTCTATGAATGATTCGACTTATCTATGTACGAAAATTTTATGTCAGAATTTCGTTTCTGGATTTCATCAGAAGTGCTTAGAAATGATGAAAAATCAAATAGAAATCAGAGCTCTACTTATAATTTTATTACTGAAGATTTTCTATGATTTAGAGTGATTTCTAATGGGTTCTGATAATTTTTAACCATTTCTAGTCTAACTACGATCCTTTTGTAGGATCAGTATGAGCTTCAATGGTGTCTATCAGTTCGGATGATTCCCTTGTAAATAAAGATGTTAGATTTAAATTCAATCAAATGATATATTTCCATAAAGAATTTCAGGAAGAAAACCCTTTCATTTGATTCTTTTTTTAATAGAGTTGGCGAGAAACTATGGATAGCACCGGGTGATGATTTAGCTGTTTCACAATTAACTAATCTCTGGCGTTCAACATTATCTCGAAAAGGTTGTTTCACATTAATGCGAAGTGGTATGATTTTTCTTTTTAATTTAATTTTCTTTTTTTATTAAAATAATTATAATGTCATTATAAAGGTGCCGATGGTGTTCTACAATCAATATTACTTTCAATTGGTGGTATACGTTTTCGTAATCATCATCTTGAAATGTATTTAGATCCAAAAGAACTTCATCGTGATATGTTTTTTCGTTCAATTAATTTTGGTAAACAATATCGTATAAATATAAGTATTACAGTAGGACATGATAATCGTGCGGTTATTGATGTATCAATTGATAGTGAAGCTGCTCAAGCATATGCATGTGATGCTGGTTGTTTAGAGTCGCCAACGAAACTAGGGTTTGTGATGTTTTTCTTTTTCTTTCTTTTTGTTGATAATTGAATATGAGAAAGAATACTTAAAAATGATGCACTTGTTGAGGTTTTGTTTGAATTCGAAAGTAAAGAATAAATCCTTGAAATCGACAATTATGTCAGCATCTATTTGAAGAAGAAAATGGAATAAAAATACGTGAAAAAGAAAGCATATCGTTGATCGATTTAAAATAATAAGCATTTTTGCATAAAACTTATTATGAATCTGAAATTTATGGAAGTTAAGAATAATAATAATTTAATTTAAAATATATAAAATTTTATTAATAGATTAAGAAAATAATCTATGACTTAAAAAAAAATTATTTTAGCTAATATTCTTTTCAAGTTTAGATATTAGGAAATTTCAGTTAAATATTTATGAAATCTATTCATTTGTTTTTCTTCATTGTTGAGAAATTTCAAAATCAGTTTGTTCGTATGTATCTAAAGATCAATGTATCCTCTTGTGTCTACAAAGATTTATTCACACATAAATGTTATTTATTGAGGTAATGTCTTAGTATTTGTCTACTGTGTGTTATATGAGATATCGAGCTGAAATTCTAACTGAAACTCATTATGATTGTTGTTTATCATTTCTTGCAATAGTCCTAAAACTTTAAAAAAATGAGATGCTGACTTTTTGATAAATTTGCTAAATATATTTTATGCGATCGATATCGTCATTACAAATCTCAAGATCTATTTAGTTATTCAGTAGAAGCTGAATGTAGGTAGGCAGATCTATGTGTATATATGTTTAAGTTGAGAATAGAAATGTGTAGAATCAAGTTTTTTTTAGTTTCATTCACGATCTAGAGAAAACTATTACAGAATTTATTCGTATCACATCTAAAATAAAATTTTTTAATACTCGTTTTTTCGATTTGTTTAGTGAGCGATTAACATTTTTTTGGGGTAAACTCTCTGGAATTATGTTCTGATTTATATGATGATTGACTTAAAGTCGTCATTAAGTATTTTAATATAATCTTTAGTTCTAGTGTCGGTCTCAGCAACTTCTTCTTTCCGTGATCCCAATTTCGCACATTTTTAGTTGAGGAACTTTTTAAACAAACTTCTAAAAATTATTACGAATTTTTTGAAGGTATCAACATTGATTCTAGCAAAAGTTTGTCTATTCTTTCATTTGAAGGAACTCGACTATCCTCTTAGAAAAAAAAAAGATCTCAGATTGTAATTGATTGAAGTCACATATCTTATGATTATTTTCTACTGACATGATCTTTGCAAATAATAAACTTTCT